ACTGATGGTCTACGATTATCTTTTCCGTTCATCAACTTCTCGACCCGGTGGTTAACCACACCGCTGATTTTAGATCCGGAATCATCACTACTGAAACTCATCGATCTGGCCTTGTCCAGGCGGCCACCATTTGTGGGGTGAAGTGACAGCTCGCTGGATGTTTTCAGATGGTGGATAAGCTCTTCCACTTTATCAGCGGAAGCCATGCCAGATAGCCTCTCGGCTAACTCGGACAGCCGACCGACAATGGAGTCTTGGCCATCTTTTGTACCCATATCTCTGATGATCTTTTCGAGTAGTGCCATCGTGGCAGGCGACGATTCGCCGCCGACGAGGGACGGTGTGCTCAAGATAGACTCTCGATCAATGGAGGCCGCGAAACTATTCGGCGACGGGATCCTAGGGAGCGAAATCGGTCTTCCCATCTTCCCCGGTCCGGGTGACATGCTGTTGAACGGTTTGTTGTCAAGGTATAGCCCACCAGTATAGGTGTCTCGATGATACCGAGATGTTTCCGAGTTAGAGTTCAGTGCTAGTTCGCGCAGACTCTTTCGAATGTCTTCATCTCTAGCGTGCGTAGCTTCTTTGAGGCTCATCAAGTCGGTAGCATTGTCTCGACTTCGACGGCTGAGTTGAGACATCTCATTCTGGAGGGCGGTCGCGATGTTGGTCAAGGTAATGAGCTGGTTTGATAGATGCTCAGTGGAGGGATGCTCTGTGGAGAGATGCGGCCGCATCATGGGTGCAGAGTTGTTTGTAACAGTTGCCAATGGTGATTCCGTGTCCCGAGATGATACGGAAGACATGTTTTGTAATGCCAACATGGTGGCAGATTGCGGTGGTGTGTTCTCACCAAGGATGCTCTGCGGTAGCTTCCTCCCAGAGGGGCGAACCATCGAGCTCAGATTTGGCGCCATAGGTGTAGGTGTGCCGGGAGCGGCGTTCTCCTTCTCAGCCGATCTCGAATCCCTATCGTAGTCTCTAGCGTAGTCTCTGCCACGAGTTGGTGTTTGTGGTCTTGTTTGTGATCTCGCAGATCTATCTTTTTCGGGTGAACCTCGAGGGGTTGAGTTCGCAGACTCGCGATCCCTTGAGCCTTCGATCATCAGGCTAAGGTCCCTAACGCTGCCTGGCTGCACAGACTGCATTCGTTTATGAGGACTACCTGCTCTTTGGACGAGAGCGCGCTCAGGCGATGTGTCGTTCAGACGTCTTGAGACGAGCGAGGGGACGAGTGCATGCTCGCGCGCCTTCTCGGTCAAGGCAGCGTGCGCAGATTGAATAGCTAGCGATGTACCGCTTCGCGATGGGCCTACACCAGGCGACTGAGGATTCAACGGCAGAGGGGGCGGCGCCCGCTCCGGATCAGAACTGTCCCACCTAGAACTCTTGGTAAGTCTACGATACAGCCACATTTTTGCTAAACAGGTGCGATAAAGAGAAAGAGGAAACATACATTGGGACGATAGCCCCGATTGAAGAAGAATGTTGATGTCTTAGAGGCCGGTCGACCGGTGCGTCACGCTCGACCGGTGCCATCATCTAATGTTGCTGTTGTTTCTGTTTGATAAGATGGAATGATATGTCTCTAAGTTGCGAATTTGCGATGCGGCTAGAAAGCCGTATCACTATGTGAGATATCTAACAATTGCGTGGTAAATAATTAGCCTAGGCTAATCCCGTCGAAGCGGGAATGGGAATGAGAGTGAGAGTAGGAATGGGTATCGAAGAATTGATGTTGTTTAATGTTTGATCAGTCAGATATGACCGTCAGGTTTGAAAGTGGGATTGATGATGGATATGACGGGTATGATGGATATGATGGATACGTAAGATGGACGACGGATTTGAAGATTAGACAATAAAAAAACGGAGCATGGGGGTTCATCTAAGAAGGTTCCTGGTAATATGTGACTACGGGAAGCACCTGCTGCTGCTCTGTTCACACCTTGTGCTGATTGTGCTAACTGCTATTGTTATTTTGAACGGCTGTCCCGCTCTTGCGTACTTTCTTGTGTGGGACTATGTGGACAAACAATCGAGCTCCTGCCCAATCCCAATCAAGTTTTATTGATCTGCAACGTCACAACGTCGCTGCCCCAGCAACAGAAGCACGGATCAAAATACGCAACCACTTAGCGAGACCCAGCCAGACCCAGCGAGACCTAAGTACTCATGTACCGATGTACCTTGCCGGTCCTTGCATTTTATTTTTTTCATCACTTTCAATTTTCCAATTCTCGTCACATCCCGCCTTGCGGTTCATCACCGCCGTCACCATACTCCGTAGTAAGGAGCTATACAAAGTACAATATCAATAAATTACTCATCTACTTCTACCACACATATTCTACCACATCATCGTCTTCGTCAGTTACTAGACTAGATCCTACTACATTATCAAACTGTTTACGAAAACCTCGATACTGTAAAATTGTGGCTCGTGGGAAACCCACTTCCAAGATATCCCCCACGTGCGTCCCATATCCCCATCTTATTTAGATTAATATTTCCGAAAAAGCATGGTGCCATGTCAATTATCAAGAACCGTCTGAGAGTATTGTATGTTTTCAAATTTGCTAGTTTCAAGATGTCGAATCAACGATCTACGACTCCAGATAAACATCGCTTCTATACCTGGTTCTATAATAAAGGCTGGGTCAAGAAATTACCGGCAACCGTCGTTACGCCCGATTCATGCATTACTGTACCTCCAGTATTTTCAAGGAGGGACCTAGAATCAACAATCAGATCATCCGATGTCTGCCAAGGTTTCCCATGCGTCCAATGGCCCTTGCACCTTAGAATTGGTGGAGTCTTCCGAACATATCCGGGACCTGATCCGGAACCCCGTGCAAAATACACGGAGAAGAATTCGGGATCCAATATCAAGTCATTCTTTGCCACTTCCGTAAAAGGTAAACTGAAGATTACATACCTATGAATGATATTCTGCACATGCCTTGCCTTATAGACCAAATGTCTTCGTCGAAATCCCGCTGGTTCATGTGCCTAACTCGTAGCACGGTACTTCAATACAAACTCATACTGTCTATCACAAGTAGCAAGCTGCACGGGCGGATGCGCTAAAATCTCCGAGCCACAGATAGTGGCAACAATTATATGCGAGTATAACAAGCGACTCAAACATCGGTCCGTTGGCCCAATGGTAAGGCGTCTGACTACGACTACGAATCCCGTAGGCTAAAAGGTAATCAGGAGATTCTGGGTTCGACCCCCAGGCGGACCTTTTCTTTTTCTTTTTCTCCCATCTCCTAAGTTGATATAATTTTTCATCATGGCAAGTTGCAGCAGGAAGTTTCAGGAGATTTATAATTATAGTCAAACAGCCTCATCCTTTTTCATTAATAGTATTAATTCTCAATTGTGTTTTTACCTACCTGAATGAAGCGATATAAAAGCTTATCTATCAATCACGAAAAGGCAAGCGCTGCAAGAACACCTGGGAACGAACCGTTGTGAGTTTATAATTGGCACAAAGGGGGTTCGGTCATTTTTTATGATTCTCAAAAATACTTGGCGACGTAGTGTCAAGCCTTCTATGAAGATCCCGTGATAGCCGCAGAGCTAGGATCGGCCCATAGAGGAGTTCCTTGGTAGGGCATCTCTCAGTGTTCAGATAGACAAAGGGGCATTTCCGTATATAGCGTGTCTCTCAGTGCGAGGTAGCTTATAGTTCTTCGTGAAACAATAGAGTATTTTCCTGGCTTCTAGGTTTGCATTGTGACACATATAATGGCACCAAATAAACTCGAGACAATGCCTGAAGTCTGCTGAAATCCTCGTGTAACCAGATAACTACTGTGTGGTGAGAGATGATATAGTAGAAAATAGGAGAGAGTCATAGTATCTAAAAATGAAGAGATTCTCCCCCTGCAAATGTGTAGGTTAAGTTGGTGTATAATGATTTCTTTTAATGTAGCGATGTTTTTGAGAATATGTAATATGTATTTTAGGACGACATAATAAACTTCTTAAAAACTATTCTAAAAACCCCTTCTTTTTGTATTTAAGAAGGTGTTTGTCACGGGACACACATGAGGAACGATAGGGAGGCCCTTCAGGCCCGCCAGTGTGCTGCAAGGCTCTAGTAGGTGGCCGGGGGATACGATAGGCGGGCTAGCAGTGTCAAGCCTTCTACGAAGATTCCCATGAGCTAGGATAGACCCATAGAGGAGTTCCCTAGCAGCATCCCTCACTACCCAGGTAGTTCTTAGATAGACAAAGAGATCCTTCTGTATATAGGTAGTAGGTCTCTTGACATGAGGTAGCTTAGAGCTCCTCGTGCAACAATAGAGTCTTTTCCATGCTTCTTGGTTTGCATCGTGACAAGCAGTAGTATAAAAAGGGGGTTTCTTAAGGACAGCCAGCATTAATAGACCACTTGTACCTACCGTATACTAACAGCAGCTTTGCTGCTCCTCTATAGTCATTCTACGTTTGACAGCCAGGGGCCTTTCACTAGGATTGGAATTTCATTTTATGATGAGTCTAGTTGAAGCTAGATATTATTAACATGCCCCTATTCTCATGCACACACACACAAATAACCTTTATTCCTACAAGTGTTTCGGTAAAACACTAATGATCTATGATGCTTACATATCTTGCGATAATTTTTTCATATCTCAATGGACAACTCCCAACTCATCACAAATTTCCAAGGCTCGCTCAATTTTCACTGCAATCCTGGTCAGGTCAAGACCATTGAGTTATTATAAGTGTATCTATCGTCCATGCTGGCCCGAGCCTATGCATTATAAAACATAGTTCTAATCTCTTCCGTAGGTATAAATTGCGATAGATCTCGTTTCTAAGTCTATTCTATAATGAGATAATAGATGGGTATAAAAAATACCAACTTCATGAGCTTTATTTACTCTCTCGTATGCACAATATAGGTTAGCTTGTATTAAACTTAAGAGGGGATAGATAGATACATACTACTAATTTTTTTCTTAAAAAGAGCAAAAAAGTGAAGGTCCGCCTGGGGGTCGAACCCAGAATCTCCTGATTACCTTTTAGCCTACGGGATTCGTAGTCGTAGTCAGACGCCTTACCATTGGGCCAACGGACCTTGTTGAAATGGGACTGATAGGTCGCTTTATGAGTAAAGATCGTTTGCGCTAATTGTATTCAAGTCGGATAATCGCCGGATATTCCCACCGGAGAACTGTGACATGGACGTAACTCGGGATCAGGAATCAATACCTAGGTAGTGATTAGGTAAATTGAGAATTCGAGGCGTTTAGTGGGAAATTTCATTTCGCGAGAGAGTTCTTTTTTTTTAAAGAAAAAAAACAAGCATATACAATGATGGTGAAGTCTGGGAGAATCGTAATCTAGTAGTGTTGCGCCCCTTACTTACTGTGACTAGATTAGAAAAAGGGGTTGGGGGGAGAGCCAAAAAGTTCAAATCCATGATGTACTAAATCAGCGATTGCTCCGAGTTTGGAAGCGGAGATGGGTAAGCATTCATCAGGCAAAGAGCAACATTTTTATATTTCATTTTGTATTTATGAGCTGGATGTATGAAGTTGGAAATAACGCTACACGTCTTGCTATATTTTGGCCTACAAGTATACATACTATGTCAAGTAATCAAAATGCTCTCAAAAACTTTTCATTAGAGTCGAGTTTTTTTTTTACCTATTCTTCTAGCCGATAGAAACTCCTCATATCTATCTTCTTGAAGTCTGTGTAACCATCTAATAAGTCCAAACCGGTCGAATCGCTAGTGTCCACGACCGAAAAACGCCGGCTCCGTCATATATACATGTAGCGGACTATTGGCGCCTAGATCTATCATTACACATCCATGGATCCCAAATAAGTCTTGCGCACCCCTTATTGCTTCGAGGGGCATTCTACTTCATCAGCGTGTCAAATGCTGGGATCAAGGTCTGGGCAAGCCAGAACGAGAACACCAACTTTGGTCCAGTCATGAGAAGCTATAAAGTATCAGCGAAAGATTCACGTAAAATCGTACAAGGCTCTTACCTTGGGTACTAATCCCTTGAAGAAACTAGACAATCCTTCATTCTTGGCCATGTTGGACAGGATTCGGAAACCGCTCTCGGGATTCTCGAAGTTCCTGTTCTGAATACGAGTCTTGATGACGTCTAAGGGGGCGGAAACGACTAAAGAGGCGGAGGCACCGGCGATGGAAGCGATAAAGTTCTGGAACCATGAAGCCTTGTTGTAGTCGCTTAATCCGAAGACGTATTCCTTAGTGAAGGCCGAACCACCGAAAAGCTGTTAAATGTGAGCGGAGCACAGGACAAACGCAGAGGGTTGAGCATACCGCGAATGACCCAGGAGCATTTCGAGCCGCAGTCCATCCCCAACCTCTGTATAGCCCAAAGCCTTCGTCGGCGATAATCTTGAAAATGCCACGTCCTCGGAATGCGTCCGGGTTCGTTTGACGCTTGATCTTGAGCACGTCTAAAGGAAGTAGGACAATCTCACCGATACCGATCAGACTAAGATACATTAATCAACCAATCCGCTGGACACGAATGATTTGTTGTTTCAAGGCTTACCTTCCGGCAGTCGAGTGCATAATTGCCTTTCCGGTCTTCTTTCCGAATGCGCTTTCAAAGTCCTTACCGTAGTGCGCCGCAAGGTAATCCCTAGCGATTGGCTGGCCACCATACTTGTATATTCTCTGGGAAACCTAATTTGGATATTCAGCTATTGACCCTTCAACATAGTAACTATACAGTATGAAATATGGGAGTATGTCTGACCTTGTATCCTGCGGCGTAGCCTAGACCCGGGAAGAGGGAGAAGAATTTGCGACCAAATGGTGCCTCTGCCTTCTCTTTGAAGATAACCTTGTTCAGCTCGCTAGTACTTCTAATCTACACCAGAATTAATATTGTACGCTATTTGTCATTCAAATTTTGGTGGCTCGCACCTTCGTCTGGTTACTCATTAACCGCTTCGCAATAGTGTCGACCTTGGGACCTATTAGTGTTGCGACGGAATGGCTCGAGACGTATAAGCACGCACGGGATGAAAGACAGCCAATTCGGCAATACCAGCAGAGCCTGCATTAAATTTGATTAGCTATTGCTTGATATTTATAATACATATATGCGCCTACCGGAACCGAGGAGTCGAGCGAGATTCGACTCGCGCTCTTTGCCAGTGACCATAGGCGCCATTGCGAATTATTATGAATGCGGGACGATTCCGTGGAATATTTTTATATTCTTGGGAAGTGAATTACCTGGCCACCTGTATTCGACGGGTTAAAAGGCTAGGAATATTGTCTTGAGCCTTAACGACGAGCTGCGAGGATATCTAGGACTGCGGACTCGGCGGAGGAAAACGCACAAGAGTAAATAAAATTTCAATTGCGCCGAAGATTTATAAAAAAAATTCCAGATATTTGCGACGAATTCTAGCACCGCACTAGATAAAATAGCGGGGAGCTTGGGGAAGCTTCAGGGGTCTTGTAGGTACTACCTAGGGACGATCCGGGCTTATCATCCCAGCGATAACGTTCCGCATGGGCACCTACCCCTCTAAGAAGCTAGGTACCTACGCACGCTACCTGTGACTTGCGGAAGCAGGCCGGGATAGGGGAAAATGCATCATCAAGTAGAGTGAAATAGAACGATCAGTAGTAGAATAGAACTATAGGCTATAGCAACAGCCATAGCAATTAGAAAGATTCTTATTCTAGCTAACTATAAGTACATGTCACTTATCGAGGCATAGAATCTACGATGTGATCTAACAACGCGCAGTTCAGAATCGATGGCTAATCGACTCTTCAATGTAAACGCACTTTTAAGCCCTCGGGCCAGACCTCCGTGAATTAACGCCGCCAATGCAAATGCAACTTTTCCCTCCAACCCTGGTATCATATGGGAGAATGAAACTCAGAAATCCCTAAAGACAGATACAATGTCGTCAAGTTTCGCAACCTGGCCGAGGAGCTTCTTCTCGATGTCGAGTAACTGGATGTACTCGTTATATACGTCGCCCCTGAGCCTATCCTCCTCAACACCCTGCACATCCTTTCGCTCGGCCAACTCAAGTACGCTCTTCTTCTTCTGACGCTCAACGTCCAATCGCTGAAAGCAGCGTACCATGGACTTATAGGTATTGTCCAGTATTCGTTGTAGTGTTCGATCGAGATCGAAGAACCAGAAGAAGATCGTTCGAGCGGCTGCCCTGTTGTTGTCTCGTGGTACTTCTTGCACATCAAGAAACCCTGCCATTTCCATCTCTGCCATCTTGACATGCACGTCTGGCTTCTTCATGAGGGCCAGACCGGGCAATGTCTTGTCGTCGAGTTTACCCTTTTCCCTAAGGATCCGGGTGAGACGCAGTCCCTGACGGCCAAATCGGTTTTCGATAATGGTATCGAGCTCGAGGAATTTCAAATGTTGCATGAGCGGTTCGAAATCGACTGTCCACTCGCCGAAGTCACCCTCACCACAATGACGTACGAACCCCTGAGAACTCTCTGCTAGTATGAGGAGATGTTGGCGCATCTCATGTAATCGTCGTGAACCAACTGGGACGCCATCTTCTTCCTGCACTTCTACGCCATTCGTGCCATTTTGACCGTTGAGTCCGAAATGAACCGCCGCCTCCCCGCTGTGGTCATAATCTTCGTCATCTGATCCTATAATTTCTTCATCTTCCTCCAGTGTCTCTTTGAGGGTCGAACCCTTGAGTTGCGGAGGAAATCGTCGAAGTTTCTCTGCATATCTGATGTCGATGGTTCCTTCGCCATGTAACTTTCCGATTCCGGCAGATAAATCAATTGAAGGACTCAATTGCTCAAAAATTTCCTGGGTGGTAATGCGGGGTTCTTTTGTGGCGTCATTATCATCTTCGACCTCTATCGATCGATCAACTTGACAGCGAGAAATCTTCTTTCCAAGAACATCAAGTAATGTTGCGTACACCTTTGCTGTGGTATCGCCAATCAGGTCTTCTACATATCGTTCGAGCTTTAGATTGCGAAGCTCAACCGTGCACTTCTCGTAATTCACTCGAACGGCAGTGTCGAACTAGATAAATGTGAGTTAGCTATACCAACAAAGGCACCTATAGTATGAACTCACTTCTTGCGCGACGATGTTTCTAGCCCCGTCGCCAAGATACAAATTCGACGCACCACCGTTTGTTAACTTCCGGCGCTTCGTAACAGGCCGGAGCGCAGTCTCGGCCGCAATCTCAATCTCGAGTCTTCTCTTTAAACGTGTGTTCTCTGTCTGTATCTCCCTCAACTTGTCTCTGACATATCTCTCGAATTCGGCGGTTTGCTTAGATCCCCGAATACCAGTAGGATAATCTGCCAGATATGCTTCCTCAACCGAGCTCCTGAGATCCTGTGGAGACTGATACATTGTCGGCACGATAGGCTCAAGGATACCGGCGGCAATTAGCTGCGCGAGCGTGTCATGAACTTGATCATTCATATTTCTATCATCGTCCTCTGATTTCACGCTCACTGAACCGTTGACGATACCGTTGCTACTACCGTTGGTGTTACCATTGGAATGATCATGGCCATTTTGCAATGTTCCGTTGACAATCCCATTGCGGGTGGTGTGTTTATCCTTGAATGCTTCGATGAGGTCCGAGATCTTCGCGTGGCCGAGTATGAGAAGTTCGTGGACGAGGTAATGCGCATGCTGTCCGTACTTGGTCTGTATCATATCCAATATCTTCCCCATCCGTACGAGGTTATACGCAGCACAGTGATTTGCTTCATAGTAAGTGATGTCGGTGTCTTGGTCGGTATGGTGGAAGATGAGATTTAATTGGATGAGTACGGCGATTCCATGGCGCACTTGTCTTTGGTTTACGGACGTGTGATGCGCCAGTTGTGCGACAGTTGACCTGCCTCGTGCGAGAAGGTCTGCAAATATGCGCTACGAGATTCAAACTTGTTAGTACTAAACTTGCATAGCGTTGGTGGAAATTCTGGAGAATATCCAATCTATTTGCTTTGGGGAAAATCATACCGATGGGAGTTGGCCATACAGCTCGCTGATGAGCAGAACACAAAGTTCCGCGATATTCTTTGTCTAGTATTGAAGATGTGAT